TGACGGATATGCGGTTATTCGCCGATCTTCAAAAATTAATATCTCTTTAACGATTGCGAATTTTGCAAAATGGTACAGGACTTTTCTGTTCAGTTTCATCTGCTCTATCTGCCCACGAGGTCTGGTGCGGTTATTATGGGACACCCTGTATAATATAAAAAGGCTATAAGGTTTAAAAAATTGTGTTAGATGTTGTAAAATTCTATAAAATAAAATTGCAATTTAATATGTTTTACTTTGTTTCTTATCTATCTTCAGATAATTTAGTTATACAATGGAATATATGTTATAATTTTATTTATTTCTATACGCATATTCTTTTAATACAGATTCTATTTTTGTAAAATTTTACAAGTTGAAAAGAATGAGATAAAATATTATATATTACAAATAATATTTGAATAAAAAAAAATTCTTTTTATAGGGACAGTAAGTTGACGAGATTGCTGCGAGATAGCTTGGGCGGAAATGCCAGAACTTTGATGATTGCTTGCGTGAGTCCAAGCGACATCGATGCTGAAGAGACTCTTAGCACTCTACGCTATGCAGCTAGAGCTCGTTGCATAAAAAATAAACCCATTGTCAATGAAGATCCTAAAGATGCTCTTCTTAGACAATACCAATTAGAACTTCAACGTTTAAGAAAGTTACTTGACTCCAACGATATATTAAATGTTGGATTGGACTTCCAAAAGGATGAGGAAGAAAGAGAAGAATTGCGAGAAAAGCAATATTCCGACGAGGTGATGTATGATAATACTATATTATATTATATTTTATAATTTTACAAATATATATGGATTTTTATTAATTATTACATAAATATCTTTTATACAATTATTTCGTACACTTAAAATATTGTTACTATTATTAATTATGTACTGCTGATATAAGATTACATAAATTTAATTATAAATGTTTAGAATAAAACTTATATATTAATATATTGATGTATAATAATAGCTGGGTAGAAGTACCGGTTTTGGCCATCACTGCACTGATACGGCCATCATAAACACTTCCGAGGATTTTTCGTGTCTACACGTAGTCAATGACGATACAAAACAGTGGTTTTTCGAGACTTCCGGGACTTTATTTATGGTGGCCATACCAGTGCAGTGGTCAAAACAGGTACTTCTACCCTACTACATATTATATTATGTTTTTATATATTATTTTATATTTTTTAATTTCATAAATATATACATGTAAATTCTTATTAATTATTACATAAATTATTACATATTTTCTACAATTATTTTGTGCACTTAAAATATTATTATTAATTATATAACGCTAATACAAATATAATTATAACCTTTTTTAATACAACTTATATATTCTCTAAATGTTCCATTGCAATCTTCTATTTCTTTACTAAAAAAGTAGTTAACACTTTCTGCGCTTGATATTTTTTATGTGCTTTCTTGAGATTTTTTATTGGTATTCAATATTTATTGTATAAATAGCAATAAAAAAATATAAATATAACTAAAGGTGGAGAGACTAAGAAAAGAGTGCGAAAATTCAAATTTGTCAGCTCAGAAACTAAAAGAGGAACTGAAAACTCTAAAATTTTGTTACGAATCTGGATTAAATATGACGATTAATAATGATAAACTTGAGAAACTCGATCAAGGATATCAGGAGATGAATGAATTGGACAAAGAACGAATGGAAAGAAGAAGAAAGAAAAGAGAGGCAGCTCTTCAAGATGTTTTAAAAAGGTTGGAGAAACTGACGATCGGTGGAGAAGAGATTGATAATGCAGAACTAAAAAAAAGGAGGGAGAAAAGAAGAAAAAAGTTAGAAGCTCTTGTAGGGGCGCTGGAAGCCAACGATGCCAATGGTAGTGTCTTCCAAGTATATGGCCAATTGAGGTTTGTATAATATTCAATATTATGTTTATTTAATACAGCAAAATTCTCCCCGAAACGACCATACGTTTTCTGAAGATTTTTTTCGCGGTGAATATGATGCCGTTTGAAGAATATATCGCCTATAGCACGTCAGGATTTTAAGTAAATTATAATAAAAGTGACCAAAAATAGTATTTTTGGTCACAACTCACATTTGACATTTCTTGCGGCAAAACGGAAACTGATTTTTAAATAAACCCAACAGCATCTGAAAGTATTATTCAATAACTTTCAAACAAACTTTGATCTATGACCGTACGACTTATTATCAAATTATGGCTGTTTAAATTTTAGACTTTTCGTAAAATTTACAAGAAGGGCAAATACAATACTTACATTACACGGGATGATTTTGTTGAAAGATCTAAGAATTTTACTAAATAGAAATCTGAAAATAATTTTTGTTCAGTAATCAAAATAATTTGTTAGAAAGTTTAAAATGATTGCTATAAAATGTTTTAATATTCTATCAATCATGTTGACTTTCTAACAAAATCATTTTGATTATTGAACAAAAATAATTTTTAATCTGGATCCAGCAAAATTGTTCTTTTCGAGTATTACATAGCGCGCATGTGTGCGTGCGTGCGTGCGTGCGTGCGTGCGTGCGTGCGTGCGTGCGTGCGTGCGTGCGTTAGCGTGCGTGCGTGCGTGCGTGCGTGCGTGCGTGCGTGCGTGCGTGCGTGCGTGCGTGCGTGCGTGCGTGCGTGCGTGCGTGCGTGCGTGCGTGCGTGCGTGCGTGCGTGCGTGCGTGCGTGCGTGCGTGCGTGCGTGCGTGCGTGCGTGCGTGCGTGCGTGCGTGCGTGTGTGTGTATGATGCGGTCGAAGAATCACCGGATATTCTGTAGAGACTAACCAAGGGGGGGAGTAGTAGACCCCCCGACAATGGTGCGACGGTGAAGTGAGTACCTGACCTCTGCCGGGGTAATAAACAATGTTGGCACAAGACCCGGGTCTCTTGGACGGACCCGCGGCATGTTTCGTGTGAGCCGGCAAACCAGGGAGAAACAATGGATCCGTAGACGTCGATTCGACATGTATGGACATGGGTTACCGCGTCTGTACATGGAGAATCAACAATCTATGGATTTTTCGTATCTGCCTGGTTTCGTTTAACGTGGGAACACCGCTCCCGTCGCATCATTGAGCCTATCAACGGGTTGAAGGTGGTTTGGAGGGCGCATGTGTGGAGGATTATTTGGTCAATATTTCCCCATACCCGAATAGCCTGGTAGGGTAAATCCAAGCAGCGTCTAGCCCGAGGAAAGGGTGAGCGTCAGTTGCGGAGCTGAACGCGCCCTTTCGATAAGGATGACGACAAAAACCTGTAGCATCTCAATGGCGCGGGCCTATCCCGTAACATTTTTTGTAAAGTCACATTCTTTCGTGCGGATAGGGGTTGACCGCCCGACAAGCCGCTTCTCGGTTTCCGCACGCTTAACTAGGATCTCTTCCGGCGGGGAAGTGGCTCTACCGCGGTAGGGTTCCCATGATGGGCGAACCGTCGGTAATATAAAATATTTTACTAATATGGTGTTACGTCCAGACCCCAGGATATTTGTTTGGGGTTGTAGATAGAGAGAGTGAGTCTCGGGCGTGAACGAGATGGAATTGAAAGTAGAGGGGGTAAGGAAGGACGTAACTAAGTAAGCTATCTCGCAGGTACGCACAGAGGCGCACGATGCGAGTCGAAGGCGCTTTGCAAAGGTTCGAAACGAGTCAATGTCCTTAAAAGGACACTATTACTTCGTTTATTGAACATCGGAAGAGCACACG